CAGGAATGCATACTTCTTTTCACTGAGTCTTTTAAGAAGTTCATGTGATTAAATCCAATCTGCGCGTCTACATTGTAGACCTCTGAAGTTGAGATGAATCCCACTGTAGGAGTCCGAAACCAGTGTGATTTTCTTTTGTACCGTAATAAGTTTGTATGCGATAGATTTGTTCACGCTGACATTTTTTTTTTTTTTTTTAATTTTCTTGTTGAATGAAAGTAGTCTTTAGATTGATAAGGTGGGTATCAAAAGCAGAATGACCTTGCATCTGCTAAACCTTTGAAGTAGATCTATGTGGACCTTCCTCTGTTGACATCCCCAAAGAACGCCAAAAGTCTTTTAACTAAAACCAAAGAACTGAAAGCTAGTTTTTACTGAAGTAAAATGTAGACTAATTTTTTTAAAATATGGAAATTCAAAGCAGCTGTGCAAGAGAAAACAGATCCAAAAATGTTTCTACAATATTCTGCCTGTGTTCTTGGTGTACTTGAAATGTTGGCTTCAGGCAATAAAAAGATTTGTGTTGCAGAATGCTGCTCTTGGTTGCCTCTGGTCCCTGGGAGGTTCATTCTTTCACCTATGAGGCCTGGCTGTCTGCTCCTTTCACTGTATTCTCTATCTTCTCGCATGAGCTTCAAGTTCCCGGTGTGGATGTGTGCGGATCTGTGTGGATGTGCTGCGGCCTGTGGTGCCTTGCTATCTCTGGGATGTTCCTTAGGATGCACGGTAGCTCCCAAGGGAAGGAACACTCTCTTTCTTCTTGCACATGGTTCATCTTTCTCCCCCTCCTTCATGAAAGGAACATAACATACGTTTAGAATGAGCAAATCAAATATAGTCACTCACTCTGCTAATTAGTTTTTGTTTTTCTTAGTTTTTGCTCTTTTTTTTTTTTTTTTTTTTGGAAGTAGAAGATTTATTAAGTTGATGAGTAGTTTTTGGTTGATTGCTAAGTCTAAAACGATGTTACCTGTTTATCTTACATAAAGAAAACATTGTATGTGAAGGTGATTTTATATTATATATACACACACACACAAACACACAATATATGTAAATACACAACAAACATGTATTTATATATTTCAGATACATTTATTATTATCTAATATTTGGATTAGAAAGTTTATTGTTACCTGTAAGTACTCAAGGCAGTTTGAGGATTCAGCCTTTATTATGTGGGAAAGTTTATAAAAGAGTTAGCAACGATCTTATGACAAGATGGCCATTGAAAGGAAGTGGCTAATGTTTTTTTTTGTTTGTAAAGAAAGCCTGTTGTGTTATATAGGAGACTTGTTCTTTTAGAGATGATGGACGGTTTCTGACACTCCAGGTAAGAAGTATCAAGAGTTCTTTGTTAACCTTAGTGCTGTTGTGCAAATGTTCTCCTATTACTATGGATGCTTTCTCGTCTGATGCCTTAGTTACTATTTCGTAGTTGTATTATATAGATTGTCTAGATTTTCACTCTGAGGGTGCAGGTTTTGGCAATTGTTGTTTTTGTTGAATAGTTGACTACTAATTCTTTTTCAGAAGCAATGTGGCCCAGTACAGTTTCCTGCATTATGGAATATCTAACTGTGTTCTTTTTGTGGTGGCGGAAGGGAAGACGGTCGTTGAGAGTAGCTTCATCTTAATTGTGGAAAAACTATTTGAGACAGTGAGCCAAAAGGAACAGATTAATCCTCTAACTGTCCTGGTTGTTTCCTTTGTTGGCATTCTGTTATTTGTGAAGTGGTTGTTCCGCGTGCTAGTTTTGTTCCTTCTCCTCCTTCTGTTGAACAGCTGTCATCAGGGTTTTTGTGGTAGCTGGCCAACGTTTGATGCGTAGTGTTTGGGCATGTTTCTGCATTATTTCCTTTCAATTTAGTAGAACATGTAACTTTTTTTTCCTTTGAGTTTTATGTGTTGATATTAAGTTTCTAGGCGATTTAAGTGTCATTTTTATCACATGGCTGGAATAAATGTCTAGACTAATCTTCAAAAATGGTGCTAAAAATGCCTCCTTTTTGTGAAAAGCAAATGCAGATAAAATACAGAACAAGATTTTGTCCTCCATTCAACTTTTCAAGAGCAAAATGCTTCCAAGAGCAAGTCCAAGATTTGATTTATGATCAAATTGTTTTTATTAAAACAAAAGCAGCAACAGCAAATTAATATTGTTCATCAGTAGCTCAGTGAAAGACTAAGTTTGACTTACTAAATATCTGTAATTCCTTCTGCTCTTTTCAAATCAGTTGCTTCATCTGCCCTTGTAGTGTTTTACCACCCACAGTAGCCTCCTAATAGTCCTGCTCAGGCTCATTTCTTGTCTGCACTTAGCTATCTTAGGCTCATGGATGACCAGTCTGTCTACTTTAGCTCTCCACATGGAGGCTGTCTCTGGTCTTTGGTATCAGTGTCTTTGAAATCTGTATTAATAAGATGTCATGATGGTCTGCCACACTGAAAAAAACCCTAACAGCTGTAAACTTAAAAGAATGCACTTTTCCTAGCCAGAGCATTCAAAGAAAGAGGTCTCCACAATGAATGCATGTTAAATCTACTACTAGCCTGTTATCATTTCTGTGGGATAACACCTGCCAATTTTTCAGTTCCTGATTTAGTTCGAAGTTTTACAAGAGTTAATTTTTTTAAAAAAAGATTGTAGATACTTTCTGAATTCTCTTGAATTAATTCATAAGATTTCACAGGAATTATTAGACATGTTTCAGTATTGAGCAAAGCTGCCTTTCCTTAAAACATTAAGTCACTTAGACTGTGTAAGGACTCACTCATTGTTGCTTCTACCTCAAGAAAGATGGAAAAGATGTATAGTTAATCTGTAAGAGCTGATTATTTAACTTACCCTCTGCCTTGCTTTAGTCATGGTCACCACAGCCAAAAATGGGAAAAAACCTGTTGCCTAAAATTCATTTTGATAACAAATAGGGAAATGGCTTAACTGCTGAGTTATTGTATGCCAATACTTGATAGAAATATATCTCTCTAAAGTAAAAGGGTACAGAAAATACCTTTCCGAGGCCAGTGAAAGAGAGCATTTGAAAAAAAATGTTTAAATATGCCTGTGGTCTTTGCATGCTACAATGGAAAAGAGGTGATTTTCCCCCCGCTCCGCCTTAGTTAGCAATTATTGCTAGTGAGATATTTGCTGCTGCAGTTTGTTTGCTGAGGGCACAGAGACTCTTCTGTGTTGTCCTTACCTTTACTTCTGTGTATTAGCAAACTTTTAGGACTGTGCTTTGATCTGCAGATACCTGTTTTATTTTCAACAAAGGAAAAATGTAACAGATCTCACATGTATTACAGGAACCCCTCCCCCTCGACCTCTGGTCTCATGCATCCGTGCCATGATGTGGCAACATTAAAATGCCTAAGATCACAAAGGGGAAAATGGAAGGCTCACATATGCCTGTGTGTTATGTTTTGCCTGTTTTTTTGTTTTGGTTTTGTTCTTAATATTCCTCCCTAGGACTAAAACAGATGAAGCCTGCACTTAAAATTTAGCACCTGTATTTACATCCATTTATAACTGGTACATTCACTGCATATGGGAAATTGCTTTGCAGCTCTTCATGTGAACAATGTCTACTTTTGAAGTCAAGGCCACTTTCCCAGGTTCATGGTATCACCAGCAATGGTCAGTACAGCGTGTTAAAACTCCTTCCCATGCAAGGGTATTATAATAGACCTTTGGGACTCCAGAATCTAGTGTGTCCAATATCATGGATTATTGATTAGGGAAAAAGAGAACTTTCAATAAAGTTCAGCAATTTTTGAATAACATCCTTCATTTCTTTAGAAGTCTGCGACTCATGCTAAATGAAGAACAGTCCTCTCCAATGTCAGTGCAGACTAAAGGACTTATCAGGAATGTAATTAGTATTTATAAAGTATGCTAGCAAAAGCATACATAAACTTTCATGATCTCAGGACAATATTCACTGTCTTTTGGTCACTGTATCATGACTGTGCATTCAATAAGCATCATCTTTAGTGTCCACCAGTATGATTCAGGGTGGTTTGCCTGCCTAGCAAATAAGGCAAAAAAAGCTGAATTCAAAGCCTTTGAATATTTTTATTTTTCTCTTGGGATGGGATAGAAAAAGTCTAGACGCAATACTTGTAGTTGTGCAATACTCATTTTCAGTGTTACTGAAAACTGTAGTAACGGATGCATTGCATGCTAGGTTGGTGTGTCTGTACATGTACACTTACCTCTTGGCTTAGGCCTTCTCACTTGAGCCATGAGGACAATACGTAATCCCATCCTTCTCCAAACCTAGCAATTATGGTAAAATACGCATAGAGTAAACTATTCTGTAAAATTCACTTCTCTGTACTGATAAATAAAGTTTTGAGGTAATAGAAATTCAGATTCTACAGAAAATTGCAGTGAACTGTAGCTTCCATGGCAGCAGATCAGGGGCACAGTTCCATGATAGTCTAAGTGAATCCCAGGACTTCAGTAGTTCCTTTTCTTTGACTGTAACAATATGTTGTCACCCTCATGTTCTGTTGTTTCAGAAATTCATCTGATCCTGTAGTGAGCTGGTTCAGGAAGCTGAATTAGAAGTATGGTTTTTTTTTTGTTTTTTTTTTTTTTTTTAGGAATGTGGAGGGGTTAATTTTCTGTCAGTTTAGCTTGTTGAACCAGCTCACTGTAGTCTGACGTGAACGCCAGTAGCAGTGCTGCGGAGAGGTTTATTGGGAACCGGGGAATAAGAGTACAACAGCACTGATTTGAATTGGCTTAATCTGTTGAAGAATTGTAGCCTCAGTGTATTTGCAATATGTTATCTTTATCAGTGCATTTTTTTTGCAAGGATATGAACACTGTTGTTGTTCTCTTGAACTCAAATGTTCTCTTGAAATGGAACAGATGAGTGCCTTGGTTTCTTTTCAGTTATCTTCTATTTTAGCATCTTGTGCGATGATTATAAAGGAGGAATTTGGTTTAGTAGATATAGCATTTATGTTTGGCAGGTTTCCAGTTTGATTTCCTATATGCTTCATCTGCCAATTTACTTTTATCCATAATTCAGATTAGTTCTTCTGGCTGAGGGTGAGCAGTATTGTTTGAAAGCCGAGCTTTGTTTTCTACTTGACACTATAATAATTATACTTTCTCTGTGAATGTTTTGTAGCTGTTTCAATGATACTTTGACTGAAAGAGTCTGTTACGTATCAATACTGAGTTTTTCGTCCTCTCCAGAGATATGAGATCTGCAAATGTATTCTGGGATGTGTTACGATATTTTTAAAACAGTTAAGTAGGATTCCATTACAGCTCAAATTTAAAATAAAATAAGATTATTTGTTATTTTCCTGATTTATTGGTAAGATTTGACTCTGATTTGAACTTGGGTATCAAAGAGAATACTTGAATGTGTTTCATAAATGTCCGTTTTTGGATACTGTAATTAACTTGTATGACATAAGTTGTGTACTGTATTATGTCATTGCCTTCAATCAATCTGTTTTAAAATAGTTATAATTAAAACAAATTGCATTTAGATAAAATGGATTTTTGCCCACCACGGATAAAGGATAATTAAGCTACATGGCCTCAATGATTTCTTTCCATACTATTTTTTATTTTGGCCTGTAGGTTTCATGCATGGATGCATTATCTTTCAAGAAAGCATGACAAAAGAGAATCCTTAACCACGGTTTTAAAAAAAAAAGTCTAAGTATATGCCTAAGATTCTTTGTAAGAAGTCTGATTTCAGTGGGTTTACTTCCATGCATTAATTTGAGTATGTCCTTAAGTAAACTGCTGAATCAGTGTAAAAAATTACCAATTTTAGACTGAGTATAAACCTTCATGCACTGGTTAATTATTTGAAGGATGCTAATGAAATGGTGTAGCTCAGCATCAACACTACCATAGTGAGACTACAAAGTGATTCTGATTTATGATGACAGTTTCTGCATTCTAGTTAATAGTGGAAAAATTTTCATTCTAAAGCATTTAAAGACTAGATCAACATATTTTGGGGACTAAGACTTCATTCAGTACAGAGCTCAGTAGCAGTTGAATGTTTCATGCATTTGTTTTCTTTTTTGTTTGCCTACAAGCCTGTAATGCTTTTCATAAATTGGAAAACACTGCTTTAAGAAAAGTCAAATCTGTTCAGTTATTTATATGCAATCCGTTATACTAGAACTACTGCGTAATTAGTTTTGTTCTAATTGTCCCTAAACTGTGTTTATATGTTACTTTGAGTACACACATCTTTAATAGTTAGTGATTCGAAGCTAGTTAGCCAGTGATACGTCTAATTGTTTGTTTGATCATATGACGCCAGAGCAGGATATTTCAACCTAAGTTTACCTGGTAGAAGAAAATCTAGTGCATGTGTTATGAGAATAGAATGTAAATTTGGCACTACTGATTGCTATCAGAGGAACATTACCGCTGCAGAAGGGTTTAGGTTTAATGTTTAATGCAACAACAGTAGATGGCATAATTAGTCAGTATCACTGTTCATCCTATATGAAGTATGCATCTGGAAAACAGAAGAATTGTAGGAGAATGGAAGGACACAGATGCATAAATCCAGTTATTAGTGCGAAAAGGAGAGTTATCCGATAGCTCTGCTGATAAAGACAGCTCTGTCCCCATTTGACTTAGCTCAATATTCACCAGTTCCATGTTCTGTCATTGAAAGTAGTTATAAGTTTGAAACACTACACTAACTTTATCATTATGGAGAAATTTTTATCAACCTTAAGTATTCTCAGGCTTATGAAATCAGCTCTGGAATTACTAATTCCAAATTGGGCTGCCTATTACTTGTGGTAGAGACATTAATATTTTCACAGATATTTTGAATGTTTTGCCTCTAGTTTTCTGTTTTCCTGCCAAAGCCACAGATATAAAAAAATTCTGTTTTTTTGAGTGGTACTTTTTGGGCTAAACTAATGATTTTCACAAAATTCCTGACTAGTCCCGTGGCATAAATGTCATATACCAGTTTTCTTCTCATGACAAAGATTCCTTTATTTTCTGATTTGGCCACTGAACTGTGGTCATCCTAAGGAGAGGATCCCTAGTGTATTAGATGACCTCAATATAACAGCTGATAGGTCCTGAAAGTCCTGTCTGTAGTCTAGACTTGTAATAGAGCCAAGGGTCTGTCTCAGTATGTTTGTTTGTTTGTTTTTTTAAACTATTGTGCATTAGTAGCATGTATGCAGTCTTTCTGAGCAGGCAGAACGCTTACCTATGTCTAGAGTCAAAAGGAGCTGTATGCTGTAGAAGATAACATTTAATACTTTATATTAAAATATAGTTAAATATAGTTAGTTATAGTTATATTAACGTATAGTTAGTTTTCACTAACAAAAATAGAAGGAATAGTGTGTAATATTATATTCTGTACGGGAATAGTAAGATGATCCTAAGAGGCCAAGTAACATTACATTAAAATAGAAGCTACTGTAGGAATCACTGTAAGACTTCCTCTCTCCTTGGGCCATTGGATCACACATTTAGCATGGAACTAATTCTCTCTCTTTTTTTTTTGGTTTCCCTAGCACATGCCGGAAACAAATGCTTTATAGTTGGCTTAAGAGCTTTTCTAACCCATCTTCTGTTTAACACTATAATTACTTATGGGTAGGGAACATATGGTAAATGGAGGACACGATCTTTCTTGGCTGTTGTTTGGATTGTGGGGTAGGAGATGACATGGAGAAGCTATTAGGCTATACTGATGCTGAGATGTATCAGTGTTCAGATTAGCATGGTGAGGGTGTCCCTGTAACTTTTTGAATTTTTTAATTGGATCAGGGTAACGGAAATGTTTATTTCATTTTTCTTTCATCCAACATCCTAATTTAGTAATATTAAGACTGTTTCCCACTGTTGTTTATAGGTCAATAATGACCGACTTGTACTACCTCAGTCAAACAGATGGAGCAGGAGATTGGCGAGAAAAAGAGGCCAAAGATCTAACAGATCTGGTGCAGAGGAGAATAACTTACCTTCAGGTAAGAAGGGTGCAGAAGACCTTTTAAATAAAGGGAAGCATTAAAAAAATTGGTATAGCACTAAACTATGCCCTTGTAATAGAAAAATTAAGTGATATTTTAAAGTGACTATTTAGAGATAAATGAATTGCATGCAAAAGAAATAAGGATGTTTATTTCAAACATGATTTTATGTCTTTGTGGAACAATAGTATTTCAAGGCTATTTACAGTTTTAATTGTAACTAGGGAAAAATATCTCTTTTACTTGTTTATGGATTCATGATTTCTTTTGGACTGTACTTTGCTGTGTGGGTTCTGTATTTCTAAAAGATAGACAAATCTCTGTTTTATATTTTTGATTCTTTAGACTATCAAAATGCATAACTACCCTGCTAAATATATGAAAGTCCTTTTGAAAAATACGATATGCAAGATTGACCTGTTTGTATAGTATGTTATCCAGTCCTAGAGTTTCAACCACTATGTGAGATCACATGTGTGCATATGTGTGAGTGCATAAGTCCTTGATATATGAAAATAAAAAGTGTGTGCATGTATGTGTAAAATTTGAAACAAAATATGATATGAACACTTTGGGACTTACATTCATACATGAATGCATGCAGCTATTTATATAGTGATCAAAAATATATTTAATGCAGCCCATTGTATTTGTATACAGTTTGTTCTTTCTGATATGTATGCACCTCACTTCTCCTTTCTGTTTAGCATCCCGACTGTCTAACTTTTTCTGTCTGTGTAAACAGCTAAATCTTTTCACCAGATTTTCATCATTTCACATTTCATGCTCAACTGTTGGAACCTCCTTCTCTGTGACTAAGATCCAGATTTGTTGTTTGTTAAATTAAAAAAAAAAATGCTCATGGAAAAAACTCTGTGCAGGTAACGCAGGAGGTATCACTTTATTGTCTTCCTTCAGCTCCTCCTTCAGAGCTGTTCTTCATTCCTCTGTTTTTGATGTCACTGTTTAGCAATGCGGTACTGTAACTACTAACTACTTTTCATGCTGCTAAATATGATCTTTCTGTACCTTGTATTTCTCTTTCTCTTCTGTATCCATTTGCTGTCTTTATTATCCAAGCATGTACTTTTCAGGAGAATGATCATCTTTCCATTTTGTGTTCAGGGCCTAAATTCAAGATTGGGATCTCCACGTACATAAAATGAATAACAGAAGTAATGGAAATCTTAGAGCATGGAAGCCCAAAACTGAAACATTAAATAAACGCACTGTTTTCTAGTGAAAATGAAATAAATTTACTCATTGAGCAAGGAGCTAGGAACACAGTTAACTTCTCCTAAAATTGATTTAGATGTGTACAGTCTATGACAAAGGCGCTTCCAGTCTATGGAGGTCATTTATTCTCATTTAATAAGAATGTAAAAACAATGTTAAAAAAGAAACCAGTGCCAATTCACAACACGTATAGAGTCTTAAATAATATTTCCTGTTAGTAGCACAGTTAGTTAAAGCTTTTCACGAAGTGTGTGGTTTTTTTTTTGTTTTTTTGTTTTTTAAAAACCAGTAGTGAAGTAATTGAGAGTTGACTGCTAGGTGATGAAAATTAGGAAAGCTATATTGCCACTATGCATCAGATCCAAATTCCATTGAATATATTAGCCCTCTGTTTCTGATGTAAGGATCTAGAAACTATATAGAAGGGCCATGTGCTTCCTTAGTAATTGTCCTTGAGGTTTAAATCAAGGAATGGTGATACACATTTTCCAAAAACTGTAGCTCTAGCTTTGATAAATATTGATGTTTTTAGCAATGTAACTCTTCAGTTCCTCAAAAATATCACTAAATCCTTGGCTTTAACAGCAGCAACACACTTGAAAAAGTAATTGGATATTTTGTGAACAAATGTTATTATCCTATTTGTTCTATATCTGTCTTTCAGTTTAGAAATTGAAGCATTTCAGCTGTATTGAATGCTCAGTTGATGTTATACTAAAATGTGAAATAGAAACGTGTGGTGAGTGAGCCTTCTCCCGCTAAACTGTTCTTTCTTTCATATACTTGCTATATTTCTTTTTATTTGTCTCTTTTTCAGGGTAAGCATATCTAATCTTCTCAATCACTCTTCATGTGCAAATTTTTATAATATCTGTATTTTATTCTTCCTGGTGTTTTCCATGAACACTAATTCTTCACTAGGCCGTTAGAAGTGGGCATTCACTAGTGGACAGGTGACAATGAACTATTGATTTTTAGAAGAGCACCAATGTATGTTTTTTTCTTATCTTATTTTTATGCAGCCTGCCTGAGGTTTTGTTTAGCTAATAATAGGTCTCCCTTGAATGCATGTTATTATGAAGCTATTGAAAATGATACCCAAGATTTTTAATTCAGCTGAATTTTGAATCTTGAACCTTTTTTCTTCCACTATACATCTTTTAAATTTAGTTATCATTGCAACATTCCACTTGTCATATGGTTCATGCTTACTTTGGTTAGTTTCTTCTGCAATCCGTGATGATCTTCTCCAGACTTGACTAATTAAAGTAATTTGTTAGATATTTAATGCAACTGCTTTACCTTTTAATATTTTTTTTTTCCAGGCTTGATATATGAAAGTAGTAGTCCTACTGAGCCAACTAGAGGCCACTTCTGTGTTTACTTGTCATTTCTTACTACTTTTATAGTCTGGATTTAACTATACTTTGGCTCTTACTCCATGCCTACTTTATTTCTTTGAAGGTTGTTTACTAAAAGATAGAAATAATTTTATATGAAAATTACAAAAATTACACTGTAGGAAAAAGCTAAAATGTCATCTTAAGAGAAGAGGATGTTTTAGTGCCTAAATATGGTTAGGAATGATGACTTACGTCCAAGCCTATACTGCTGTCGTTGTTCATATAACCGACTCAAACCCCAAGGTGAGGTGACTCTGAATGTGTGCAACACGTCTTAGAATTATCCAGAGTTGGAGTTTAGACATAGCCTGCTCTTCAAAGCTGGAAAATATTGTTCCTTATGAGTAGTTACAGTCTTTGAGATGGGACATTCACATGCACAT